TACTTGCAGGTGGCCTGTTGTTCATAGATACCAATATGTTTTAGAACTATATCCTGGAGACTATAGGGGAGGTTTTGGTCTCCCCTGGAGTTTCTTTTGTGGCCAAACAGTTCCCAGGAACCAAGTACCTAGGAGGCTGGGAGGGTGAGGGGTCTGGAGTTTCTTTGTGTTCAGTTTTGGCCCCTAGGCTCTGGGAGGCCAGAGGATCTGGAATTTCCTTGTGTCAGAGGCCTATGTGTCTTTTCTGTAGCCTGTCATGGCTGCTAAAGCAGGGGGCTGAGTGAGGGTCAGGCCCCTTCAGTGACAAAGACTCGGTCCTCGAACAGGCACTAAGCTTCATTATCAGCCAGTCCTGTAGGATTGCTGTAGGAGTGCTGTGTAACCCATAAGGACAGGTTATGATGTGTGTCGCTGTACCTCATCATTTGTCCTAAAACACAAACAAAAAATACCTCACAGGGGAAAATTCTTCTGATTTCAGAGGTAAAAGGGCCTGAGGTTTAAAGAAAAGCAATTTTCCACTTTGAATCTTTAAAAACATTTAACTTAATTTGGATGCAATTAACATTTAGACTAGAAGTTTCAAACCTCCACTGTGGTTCCCAGCTCTCTTGTGTCACAGAATTCTCAAGTCGCTCTAGGGGGCTAAGACTGCTTGTTCCTGGGACTAGGGAAGAAGGATTCTACATGGGTGGTGGTGCACACCTTTAATCCCAGCACTCAGGGAGGCAGAGGCAGATGTATCTCTGTGAGTTCAAGGCCAGCCTGGTCTACATAAACACATTTCAGGCCAGCCAGGGCTGGGAGCTTGCTTGAGAACTGAGGCAGGTGACTTGGTACTGTTAGACCCTCCGAAAACTCAGGCCTCCGGGATCCCAGGCCAGGACCGCAGTCACCCCAATCACCAGGAGGATTCGAAAACTTGCTGCAAGCTGCATGAGGCTTTATTGTTTTGTTTTGTTTTGTTTTGTTTTTTTTAACGAGCTAACCCCATGTTAGCTAGGGTCTTTCACCCACCAGCCATGGTGGATGGCTCGAAAAAGACCATTTGAACCGGCTGCCAAGAGATCTCGTAGGGCAACGTAAGGGGAGTGTCTAGGGGTACACACAGGCTCACGATTGGTGTGCCTCCAGGCTTGGAGAGCTTGCCCTGTGTTGATTGGTCAACTGGTTGTTATGGCCCATAGGCCCTCCCAGGGTGGTTGCTATGCTCTGTGCGTCATTGCCGTGTGCTTATCCGTAAAGTACACCCAGAGTCATAAAGCATAGTGCCACCAGCTAACTTCTGATTGGTTCCTTGTCACGAGGCAGGCACCTAACCTCTAGTGACTAAGACAAGGTCATAGCGAGCACATGTTACTGTCATGGCTGCCGGAATGGGGAGCTGGTCCCTTCAAAACGAGCCCTCAGACCACGGCTGTCAGCCGTATGGTCAGGACTCCCTGGCCAGCTAGAATAATTTTAGAGAATGTTCTTAGGTTTCTAACCACATCACCTGGGGAAGCCCTGTTGACATACATATTCACCCCTCTAGTAAATTCCTGTTTGATTGGAGCCTAGTCAATATTCTGACAGTTGAAAACCAATAAAAACTAACATCGTCTCAAATGAAAGTGGGGCAGAGCCCATGGGACCTGCCCCTGGATTGGATGTGGCTGGAGAGAGAAGGATGAGGTCGGCAGTAGTGTGTGGGTCTTGTTGGGAAGCTGGCTGGATAGTAGTCTAGAGAGGCTCATATTTGGTAAAGCGTAACAGGAAGTCTTATGGGAGAAGACACACCTGAGATGCCAGCCAGGTCTAGCGGGCCATCTATTGCTGAAGGTGGGAAGTGGCCATTTTTGCAGTGAATCCTACAGTTGGCTCTTGAGCCTTCAGATGAACAATTTCGAATGCACAGAGTCCCCAATAGTGAAGAGAAGGGACCATGCCAGGCCCCTCTAGCTCATGGGCAGTGGAAGGAAAGAAGAGGTGCTGTGAACACAGGGTTGGGGTAATAGAGTAGATAGAGGTTCCAGGCCCTTGATACCATGCTTTTCGGATCCACAGAGGAGCCTGTGGGAGCTTCAGACCCAGTAGCCACCATGAACTCAGTATCTGCAGAAGACATGAGAAACAGTCTGTGGCGAACAGCTCAGTGGGCCTGCAGTTTTAGTCGCACTGTGTCAGCCAAGAGACTTTTCAGCCAGACACATCTCTAAGGGAAATGGTTTCCAGGCCAGGCTTTGGGAGAGCCAGGTGCCAAGCCCCACCCTGAAAGCACTGGCTTCCCAGAGGCCTCCTGGAACTCCCAAGACTCACTGGGTCATCCCTGGCTGGCTGTCCTCCTACTGTCAAGAGATCTCTGCAGCATGGCTTGGCTGGATTTAAAGATTTCCAAGCTAAAATTAAAAGGCTACCCTGAGGAAATGGGCCACACGGAGTCAAATCTTGTCCTTTCCAGGCTTCTAGATGCAAATGGCTCCTCTGCACATTGCGCGTGATTTTTGCTGAGAGCCATGTCCCTGCGGGTACAGGGTCACCATCCCCACACAGGGGCTGCAGAGCCAGGTGTGCTACTGAAGGCGGATGCTGGCACCACTTGTGCTTCTCTGCTTCTGGCCTCTGCTCTCCTTCCCGTTTTCTGCACTCAGCTGTCAAGCAGAAAAGTTGTTGCTTCATAGTCTTGGGGAAAAATCTGGCGGGTTCGGATATTTTCCCCTCCTTTGGCATTCTTCATCAAGCAGACCTGCCATCCAATAGACGGTAGACTGGTGACTTGGGGAGATGATGTTTGCTTGTTTAATTTTTGAGGACTTTGTCTTTGGGCTCACAGAAAAATTGTAAGATACAGGAGCTCCCATCCACCTGCCATCCCCTTTGCCAGCCTTCCACTGTAAGACCCCTGGAAAGCTCAGGCTTCCAGGATCTTAGCCCAGGACCTCGGCCACCCCAATCACAGAATGGAGGCGAAAGCTTGATGCAAATTGCATGAGGCTTTATTGTAGTTTAACAAGCTAACCCCATGTTAACTCGGGTCTTTGATCCACCCTCCATTTCGGATGGCTAGCAAAGACAGTTCAAAGCCTCTTCGTACAGATCTTTATAGGGCAGCGTAAGGGGAGTGTCTAGGGGTACGCACAGGCTCAGGATTGGTGTGCCTCCAGGCTTGGAGGGCTTGCCCTGCGATGATTGGTCATCTGGTTGTTATGGCCCATAGGCCCTCGAAGGGTGGTTGCTATGTTCTGTTCATCATTGCTGTGTGCTTGTCCGGAAAGCAAACCCAGAGGCATAAAGCATAGCACCACCAGCTAACTTCTGATTGGTTCCTTGCCACGAGGCAGGCATCTGATCTCTAAGTGACCAAGGCAAGCACGTGTTTGGCTGTTATGGCTGCCGAAATGGGGAGCTGGCCCCTTCACCACTAAACACATCCCTAACAGAGTGAGCGTGTTTGTTAGGGCTGACACCCCTGTGTTGACATACCGTCAGTGTCCATGGCTTGCATTGGAGATTAGCGGTCCTGCAGTCTTGAACAAATAGCCAATGACATAATAGGTATCTATTATTGCCCAGCAGGTTTTCATGGCCCTAAAGATTCCGGCACTTTGCCTGTGTAGCCCACCCTCCCTCAGCCACAGTGAGGCAGTTTTTGTGAAAGTGTTGTCCAACAGTGAGTGCTAATATGGAACTCCCAGGGCCACATCAATAGCAATCACCTTCCTTAAGTGTCTGTATCTTATGGTCCATGGGCTCTGTCACCAGGCCACTGAGCTCTGAAATTTGCCCTGCTGTTCCCCCTTCAGGCTGACTTTGTACTGCTCGCATGCCAGCGTCCCTTCTATTTCCTAGACCACCACCCTCACCCAGGTGTCCTTGTAGGGGGTTGGATCCATGGCTAGTGGCTCATGAAACTTAACCACCTTGGCCACTTCTGTCATATTTTATTTATAAAGTCACAGTTGGCAGCACCTTCCATTTACGTTGTGTGAAGCCCATACAGAGATAAAATATGGAAATGAGGTAGGCAGTAAGCTGAGGAAAGAGCCTGACTACGAAGCTAAGTCGAGGGTTGAACATTTCCCAGTGCACGACAGGTGGTCTGATGTGAGTGGGTTGTTAGGATGACACAGAACAGTCGGTCTGCATAGAAGATCAGCTAAATAGTGGGAGAAAGCACTTTGCCATCACTGTGAGAGGAAGAACACATTGCAGATGCATTGTAGACTTTTGTATGAATTTCCCAAAAGGAGAAGACCTAGGCTTGCACTTCAGCACAGTGGAGTAGAGGCATACAACGCCCAAACCCAGCTTGCTGCCCTTATGAAGGACGCAGGCAGCATATTTGCTAGGAGACAGAGGACTTCCCAAGGCCTGGCTTCAGGGCTAATCACTCTGATGCTGAACTGGCTGCCTCTGCACACAGCCTATCTCTCCGTGCCTCATTTTGCTTGTCTGTGAGAAAGAACAGTGGCATCATTGTCCTGATAGGAATATATTAGTCTATGTGACGAGTTTATATTAAGTGATTGTAACTGGGATGGGCGAACAAAAGACTGTCCTTCTGTCCTGCCCTAAGCCCGTTATGACTCTCTCTGTAACCACTCCCAGTATCAGGAGGCCACCCAATGACGTAGCCATCCCAGTCCTTGTCATCGGATAATATTGACACCATTTAAGGGAAAATTGTCCTGTGAATACAAAGGTTTCTTTGGAGGAAGAATTGAGTCTTTTATTTCTGAGTTTGAGAATGTGTACTGCTGTTTCTTTAAGTAGCTATTTGAGAGGAATTCACATCTGGTGTTTTAAAACACCTGTGTTCTTTCTGTTGGAAGCGTAATTACCTTCCTGGAATGTATCAATGTTAATAAACACCCCTCTGAGCAATCCATTTGGAAATACATAATGTGATATTGTTTCTGTTATATTATTGGAGTATTGTGGGAGGGAGGGGCTCCCCCGAACAAACAGATATTTTTTATTAACTGGATTCCACCTTTCTTTTTTTCTGCCTCTCGTTTCAGAACGGTTTGACCACCACTGTCCCTGGGTAGGCAACTGTGTGGGGAAAAGAAACTACAGATTTTTTTATATGTTTATTTTATCCCTGTCTTTTCTGACAGTCTTTATATTTGCATTCGTTATCACCCACGTCATTCTTCGTAAGTATGCTGGCGGAAACCAGATTATGTATGTAACCGTTTGCTCGACTTTGGCTTTTTGGAGTTGATTTTGACTTACAATTTTTTATTGTTTCTGGCTTTCTCTTCCCGTTTCCCCCTCCTCACTTCCAGTCTGCCCACTCTGTTTTCCACTTTGCCCATCCCTCTCCATCCCTCCCTCTTTCCTCAACCCCATCCCTCCAATGGCAGGTTCCAGGTGACACCTGGACCAGGTTCCACTTATACTAACAGGACTCTCCCCTTGATATGTGTACCCTCTCCAACCTCAGTGACGTCTGCTGGGGATCCCCTGAAAGGTTCATCCCTCCATTTTGCACAAGGAACTACAAGCATAATGACAACCATTGAATAGCTGAGTCTGTTTTCTTTATCTACTGACCCATGGTTTAAAAATACATATCCCTGGAGGAAGAATGTGGCTGGGGACAGATACTGGGTTTTCTCATACACATTCCATGAGATACTCATTTTTCTGCAAGAATATGAGCAAACAAGCTCTGACATATAAAGAATGCAGCTTTTAAAAAAAGTTAGATTTGAGTGTCAATAATTTTAATATATTTGCATAAGAAATCAGCGGTTTTTTTGTTTTTGTTTTTGTTTTTTTTCATTCACCATTCTGAAATTCATGCTGAGTTTCTTTTGTCTCTGATTCATTCACTTTCCCACAACAGGGAATGGTGAGAAGGAAGTTAATTGGCTTTGAACTACAAATCTAAGTCTTTAAACTTTCATTAGAGTGTTACTACCCACATTAGCAAGCATCTTTGCCTTTCATCCATTCCTGAAGTGTAAGCATCCATTAGCAAGCACACAGCCTCACTCTGGTGTGTTTCTGGAAGTAGCTGAACAGAGAGGCTTTCTTTTCTTGCCCTGCCAGCATGAATCTCATGAATGGAGCAGGCTAAGGCTCTGTAGGCCCCATTGCCCACTCTTTCTGTTCTGGTGGAGTCCACGTAGCAACTAGGGAAGTACGGGTACAGAATGGCTCCCGTTGGTCTCTGCACATCAGTCGAGGGTGGCCACTACATCAACTACCCAAAGGCTCCCACTGTTCTAGACTGCAGCCATTTCTGACTACGACACTTTTGTCCCAGTGGGCACTAAACTAGAATACATGCCTGAAGTTAGTGACTTTGTAAGAGCAGATTAGTTCTCATCAAGGTCCTCTTTAATGCCAACTGGAGCTAGTCCCAAGGTGGCTTTGCAAAGACTCCCTTTCTCAGGATTTTCTGAATCCCAAAAATGGCAAAAGTGAAGCCAGGAGTCATTCTGTGGCTTCACACACAAAAGCAGCAAAGGAAAAGCCAAAAATGTTAGGGGTTATTTTAAAAGAATCAATTGTTCGCATGGGCAGAAAGAAGACACACGTGACACTCAGTGGTGGTGTTTTTGCCTTGCATTCTTTTTTAGATTTATAAACTTTCTTATAAAAGAAAACTTGCAAATAAATAAAAAAACATCACACACCAATATTTAACCAGAGCCAATGTGTACGGCACAATGAGTTTCTACATGATTCAAATTGGCATGACTTAAAATCTCTTGTCCTTCAGGAAAACTCTAAATGCTGTCGTTTCACACTATCAGATTATATCCCTAGCTTCATCCCTACACAGTTGTGTTTATAAATGCAGGAAAACGTCTACACACACTTGTACAGCTCATCACACTGTCTCTCACACTCTTAGTCCTCACAAACTCTCAGAGTCATGGTCACTTCTCTTCATGCACCTGTCCGTTCTCCCCCCCCCCCCCCCTCTCTCTCTCTCTCACACACACACACACACACACACACACATACACACACAGTGAAGTCTGCTGCCTTCCCAGACTTAGAATGAGGTTTATCCTACTTCACCATGGCTTAAGTTCCATTTACCCTGGTTACTACACAGTGGGGTCTATTTCAGTGTCCTTTTGTTTTGAGGTTGCCTTTGCAGCTTGCTATTCTGGCTGTGCCCCCTGGACTCAGGGAGATGCAAGAAGCTTTAAGCGCCTGTCTTTACATAATAGTGATCAATGCAGTCCCTCTTGAGCCACCCTCCCCACCACCCAGCAATCCTCATGCATCCATGGTGGACAGTAGGCCCACAGGGAGGGAGTTCCTAGAGGAGGAATATGAAGCAAAGTGAAGCTCTCTCTTCACCTTTGCATAGTGGGACATGGGTTGACAGTCACACAGAGAGACCTAGGACACTGCTACTCACTAACCCCATCCCACAGCTAAACCAGTTAAATAGCACAAACAAGCAATGGCTTCCCTACTGGCTTAACAGGTCACATTCTGTGGCACAAGGTTGTGTCCCCTGAAGCACAGTGGCTTTGGTCAAAACAAAACAAAAAAAAGGACCCAGAATCTCTCCCAAGATAGCACCGCCAAGACTTCCTCCTCGGAGGTTGGAGCTGGAGAGATTATTCAATGGTTAAGTATGCTTGCTGTGCTTCCAAAGGACTCTAGCTGGGTCCTAGCAGCACACTGGCCAGTTCATAACTACCTGTAACTCTAGATCCAAAGGATCCAACTCCCTCTCCTAACCTCCACAGGCACCCAACATGTGTCATAGACAGACAGACAGACAGACAGACACACACACACACACACACACACACACACACACACACACACACGAATAAAAATATGTCTTTAAAATTTGTTTAAAGTATGATGGCAATATATAAAACAGAATCTCTGTTTTCATCAGATGTAGCTGAACTCAAACCCCTCAGTGTTTTCTTACAGGATAAGGACAGCACTTTCACCCCAAAAAAGAGTCAGTAAATGAACTTTAGCTTTGCTTACTCTGCGTACAAGGAAGACTGGTGGTAGTCAAGTTCCTAAGACCTCTACTGCCAAATGTTAACCGATGTGGGCAAAACAGAAGAGATTATGTAGGATTCTGTTTTCCTGTTAAAATGAGGGAAACAAAAGAGCAATCAAAGCTCTAATTTATGGGAAAATATACAGACACACATCTGCTTTCGTTGAAAAGAAAAATGCCCTGCAGATGCTGGTTCTAATTGTGAATCTGCCATCTTCTTGAATGGCTTCAGAGAAATCATGATCTCTGATCAGTAAACTGGATGTCCCTACACTGAATACCATTGTTTAGTTGATGTTTAGACACCTATTATTCTTATGGAGATGAGAGCATCGAGCATGGGGGGTGAATGTCTGGACACTAAATGTTTGCTTCATTCCCACAGGTTCACAGCAAACAGGATTCCTCAATGCCCTTAAGGACAGTCCAGCGAGATATCCTTTCCGGTGGCTCTGTGGGGACCTCTCTTGCAGATTCAGTATTTCACCAACCCCGACACTCTTATCTCTTTATGGCTCTGGCTTTGGCTTTTCTCCTCATAAATCACATCCTTATACATTTTGTAAGGCATCAGGAGCCCCACCGAATATTCACTTGTATGATAAATGGCTTTTGACCATCGAGTCTCCAGACACTCATGCAGCCCTGTCTAAACTGAGAGCTCTTTAGCTCGAAACCTATATATGGATACTTATCTGCTGCTCCCCACCCCGGCAGCCAGCCATGGTTGGTGGGTGCTCCATCCGGCTAGGCTGCGGAGAAGTAGAAATGTGAGCCTCCCTTAGTTCGCTGTGATTGGCAGGTGCTGCTCACCTTCATGGATGCCCAGGCGTGGGTCTGTTTGGGGCATGAGGCCACTTGTGAAGACTGTGCTGGGATACCACTTCCCACCCTCCCAAACAGTGTGTATATGTGTGCACCATGGTATTTTGAATCTTAAAGAAAAAGTGCTGAATGGGCTGCTGCTGGCTCACTGTGGAATCAAATGGATGAACCTGCTGACCCATCTCCTCAGGACTCAGCTCTTCCCCATCACATAACGGGGTAAACTGCACTTGAAGTCTTCATTATTCTCATGAGTGATTCTCAGAGGTGACAGAGAATTCTACCACATATGTAAACATGCTTTTTAAAGTAAAGGCACCCATGTCACTGAGCCCTGGAATGTGGTAGTGGAGGTATTTAAATAGCTCTGTAAACAAATGTGTGTGTGTGTGTGTGTGTGTGTGTGTGTGTGTGTGTGTGTGTGTGTGTGTGTTGCATGTGTGTGTGTGTGTGTGGTGTATGTGGGGTATGTGGGGTGTGTGTGTGTGTATGCATGTGTGTGTATGTGTGGTGTATGTATGGTGTGTATGTGTATGCCTGTGGTGTTGTGTGTGTGTGTGTGTGTGTGTGTGTGTGTGTGTGTGTGGTGTGTGTGTGTGTGCTATGTGTGTGGCTGGTTACCAGGGCATTTTCAGTAGTCAGATGTTAACTCGTTAATGAGGTCTGTCTGGTGGAAGGAGACAGGAGACATATGGATAATGAGCAAAGGGGGATTGAAGAATAAATTCCACGTGTCCTATGTCCTATGTCCTAATAGTGATCCACAAAACTGGAGTTAGCTGTGGTTAGCAAGAAGAAAGGATGGTTTATGGAATCAAGTGCTCACCTGAGCCTCTAAGAACAGGCTCAAAGAGGATGGTATCCTTTTTTCCACTCCCCAACACCACCAGGATGACCAGCTCACTTATAGCCATTGCCTCTGGAACCTTCAGGTTCAGAGGACATTGCTTCAGTGGATCTTAAGTGAAGCACGCCCTTGTCTCTCACGCCATCAATCATGTCTTATGACAGTGGTTCTCAACCTTCCTAAGGCTTCGACTCTTTAATACAGTTCCTCATGCTGTGGTGACCCCCAACCATATTATTTCATTGCTAACTCATAACTGTAATTTTTCTCTGCTCTAAATTATAATGTAAATATCTGATATGCAGGCTATCTGATAATGCAACCCCCACAGGGGTTGCTGCCTGCTGTCTTATGAAACCCAGCCCCAAGGCTGGTCAACAACACATGGTGGGTGAGTCTGACCTGTAGTACTGCATACTCACAGAGCTTTGGCTCACAGCTTTGACTGGCGGTAGTGCTACCCATAGCTCACCCCTTCTAGATCTGCACAACAGGGGCCCATACAGCTTCCGGAGGAGGAAGGTTTGAGCTGGATTGCCTGAGTGCTGGACTGAACCTAGTGGATCCTGAAAGTGCTCTCGGACGAGGAGATAACTTGTGTTTTCACACTTCCAGTGACCTCACTCCTTGTCTTCTGACCATGCCATAACAATATTTTGATGAGAAATAAGGGCCCGGACAAAGGGTTCTCATAGCAGATACAGTCTGAAAAATATCCAACTAAAAACAATGTCGTTGAGGAAGTGAGAGAGATGGTGTGCAAAGGTGCAAAATAGCCAACCACAATACCTCATCAGAAATGGCAACATAAATGATGGCAGTGTTGAGCAATGGCAGGTGGGACCTGAGGAGAAAGGAGCCATCAGCTCCTACCAGCCTGGATGGTGTATAGAACCAGTGTGTCGTCCCCCGCCCCCGCCCCCGCTGCAGACAACAAGGAGGGAGAGAGAAAGTCACAGACAGCCTTGAGTAGAAGGGACTCAGTAGGCTACTTCCTAGTCAGCATCACAGTGTGTGTGTGTGTGTGTGTGTGTGTGTGTGTGTGTCTGTGTGTCTGTGTGTCTGTGTGTCTGTGTGTCTGTGTGTCTGTGTGTCTGTGTGTCTGTGTGTCTGTGTGTCTGTGTGTCTGTGTGTCTGTGTGTCTGTGTGTCTGTGTGTCTGTGTGTCTGTGTGTCTGTGTGTCTGTGTGTCTGTGTGTCTGTGTGTCTGTGTGTCTGTGTGTCTGTGTGTCTGTGTGTCTGTGTGTCTGTGTGTCTGTGTGTCTGTGTGTCTGTGTGTCTGTGTGTCTGTGTGTCTGTGTGTCTGTGTGTCTGTGTGTCTGTGTGTCTGTGTGTCTGTGTGTCTGTGTGTCTGTGTGTCTGTGTGTCTGTGTGTCTGTGTGTCTGTGTGTCTGTGTGTCTGTGTGTCTGTGTGTCTGTGTGTCTGTGTGTCTGTGTGTCTGTGTGTCTGTGTGTCTGTGTGTCTGTGTGTCTGTGTGTCTGTGTGTCTGTGTGTCTGTGTGTCTGTGTGTCTGTGTGTCTGTGTGTCTGTGTGTCTGTGTGTCTGTGTGTCTGTGTGTCTGTGTGTCTGTGTGTCTGTGTGTCTGTGTGTCTGTGTGTCTGTGTGTCTGTGTGTCTGTGTGTCTGTGTGTCTGTGTGTCTGTGTGTCTGTGTGTCTGTGTGTCTGTGTGTCTGTGTGTCTGTGTGTCTGTGTGTCTGTGTGTCTGTGTGTCTGTGTGTCTGTGTGTCTGTGTGTCTGTGTGTCTGTGTGTCTGTGTGTCTGTGTGTCTGTGTGTCTGTGTGTCTGTGTGTCTGTGTGTCTGTGTGTCTGTGTGTCTGTGTGTCTGTGTGTCTGTGTGTCTGTGTGTCTGTGTGTCTGTGTGTCTGTGTGTCTGTGTGTCTGTGTGTCTGTGTGTCTGTGTGTCTGTGTGTCTGTGTGTCTGTGTGTCTGTGTGTCTGTGTGTCTGTGTGTCTGTGTGTCTGTGTGTCTGTGTGTCTGTGTGTCTGTGTGTCTGTGTGTCTGTGTGTCTGTGTGTCTGTGTGTCTGTGTGTCTGTGTGTCTGTGTGTCTGTGTGTCTGTGTGTCTGTGTGTCTGTGTGTCTGTGTGTCTGTGTGTCTGTGTGTCTGTGTGTCTGTGTGTCTGTGTGTCTGTGTGTCTGTGTGTCTGTGTGTCTGTGTGTCTGTGTGTCTGTGTGTCTGTGTGTCTGTGTGTCTGTGTGTCTGTGTGTGTGTGTCTGTGTGTGTGTGTGTGTGTGTGTGTGTGTGTGTGTGTGTGGAGGAGGAGTGTCCAGCCTCAGCCTTTGGATAGTCCTCCCGTGTCCTCCTCCTCTCTTCCTGTCTGTCACTTCATTACCTCCCTTTGATCTTCACATCAAAGAAGCAGAGACTGTGAGGAAGGGGCCTCTCGTCAGTGGCCAGTTAGGTAGCTACCCCTATCATAGGTTTATGAGAACCCATCCTCCCTGTGAGAAAGAGACAAAGGGAGAACCAGGCCTTTATCACACCCAGCCTGGTTGGATTCAAACAGAGGAGGATGTCCACATGGTAGCTCATCTTGCAAAATTCCTTTGCTGAACTCATACCATGAACCAAACCTGTGGGTCACAAGGTTAAGGACAACTGGCCCAGGCCTTGGAAGCACATTCCGTTCAGTAGGGCCTGCTGTTTCCTTCCTTTGTCAACATCTGACATCTGCACATCTGGGTGCTTAAAGTCATAGATTGTGCTTAGGTGGGACAAAGACATCGTGGTGGGAAGACGCATTGTAGTGGGATTCGTGGCCTAAGGATGGGTGAGGACAAGGAGGAGAAAACAGTGAGGACACTGTCCCGCGCGCTGTATTTTCTCGCCAGCAAGAAATACACGCAGGACACTCGGATCCTTCTGCAGACAAGCTTTAATGCATACCAGAGCGGAGACACTGAACCAA